GGCTTTTCCTCTGTCCTGTCTTGGGCTGGCTGGACAGGCTGCTGCGCTTAGGCAGCTGGGAACTCGGAGATGACTCCAATGCTGCCTGGCTGGTAGAGGCAGATCTGTGGTCATCAGGTGCTGGGGAGCTATGAGATGGTCCCGGTGCCTCCTGGCTGGCAGTGCTGGGACCAGCAAGCTGCGACTCAGCACTGGAGGCTGTAAGGAGAGGCAGGAAGGTCAACAGGATGACCCGGCAGCCCCGTGGAGGGAGAGGAACCCAGCCCTCCCGGGGCAGAGAAACTCACTGAGGAGCGGCTGTGCCAGGCCTTGCCTGGCCCCAAGGCAGCAGTCCACGGCTCTTTGCCTCTTACCTGTGCCCACGCCAGCACAGCTGTCACACTCCCAGCTGCTCAGGCTGTTGCTCAAATTAGAGCAGAGCCGGTGGGTGCCTTGCGCAGCACACGAGGTGCACAGGAGCAGCTCCCAGGGCCTGGGGAAAAAAAAAAAAAGGTTGTAGTTGTGTGCACAAAATGAGTCAAGCAGGGAGTGGCGGGAGCAGCTCTTGAGCTCAGTCCTTGCTCCCCAGCCTGGGGGGAGGCTGAGATCCCACGCAGGGCTGCTGTGGTAACTCACCCGTGTTTCTCTGCTTGCTCCCTGCCTTCTGTGTGAAGGCACTCGCCAACATCACAGCGCTGGTGTTTCTTGTGCAGAGTTTCATAGCTCTCCTTGTCCTCCCATGTTGGTCTTCTGCCAGAGAAAGGAGAGAAAGCAATGAGTCCTCAGGACCCCAGGCATAGAGCGGATCTGGGACATCCCTGCTCTTCCAGCGCAAGCCCATTCCCAGCTTGTCCATGAAGCTGCGGCCAAGGCTCGTGGGACAGCCGAGGGTCAGCTGGGCGTGCTGGGGGCAATCCCTGGGCAGGCACAGCACTTGTGCCTCAGTATCTGGAGAGCTGGGCAGAAGGCACCAACCTGGCTGGGATTTGGATCCCGAGGAGATGCATTTCTTTCCGGAATTGCATCCTGTCTTTGCAGACGGGACATCGGAAGCGCAGAATGCCAGCGCTCATGCCCTGTCCCTGCAGCGGTAACACAAGCAGCCAGAGTGTGAGCGGGGCCTGGTGCAGCTGAGCACCTGCTGTGACTGCAGAGCAAGGGCAGGGAGGGCTCCTACCTGGATGCAGCTCCGGTGAAACCAGGCCTGTGTGCACACCGGGCACACCATGGTGTGGTAGGACTTTTTGTCCCCCACGGGCTCCAGGCAGATGACGCAGTTTGTGTCTTGCTCTGGAGCTGCCTCCACGGCCTGCTGAGGGCGGTGCTCACAGCAGAAGGACCTGGGGGAAGATGGACAGGATGGGTGAGCCGAGAAGTGCTGCGATGTCAGCAGAGGAACACAAAGGAGTTTGCTGCATGCTTCAGCACTGGGAAGCAGCCGTGCAGGTTCCTCCCTTGGTTGGCTGCTGCTGACAGCCCTTACCTGTGCTGCCCAAAGAACTGCGTGACACATTCCCCATCCGTGGCACAGGGCAGATGAAAGCTGCGTTCACAGCCTGTCTCTGCGCAGTAGATGGAGGCCCCCTTGTCTCCACAAACGAAGCAGTGCTGGAAGGAGAAGAGCAGCCCCCATTAGCAGCAGGCTCAGGGCCTCTGAGGCCAACACCACGCCTCCAGGCAGGGCACAGAATGCAGGCATCGCTGGGTCACGCTCTGCAGACGCGCCAGCAGACAAGTTTGATCTTCGTTTAATCAAGAACTGTGTCCTGGTGCTAGGTGGAAAGAGTGCCATTGCTTGCTTAGGCTCCAGGCTTAGCTGGTGCTGGCACAAACATCCCCGTTCCTTGATTTCCTCACCTTCTGCTCTGCCTCCTCGATTGCGCATCTGATGGCATCAAGGGGGATCTGCAGAACCGCCCTCTGTCCGGCAGTGTGTTCGTAAAGGCCGTCAGCAAAAAACTGTAGCAGAGAAAAGAGCAGGATGTCATGAGGACAGGATGGAAAAGAGGGAGCGTCCCCGGCTGGAGGGCGGAAGGAGCCCTGAGAGAACTCACCAAGCAAAACTTGTGGACGCAAAGCCCGCTCTCACCAAGCATGGGCCTGCAGGCGTCCGGGTGAACATCTGCTCGGCGACACAGCATGCATACTGAAGAGGAGAGAGCAAAGAGAAGCAGGAGTGAGTGCCAAGCGTCCCTGAGGCCTGTTGCCAGGGGCCTGCCCTGGGTCTGCCACGCAGGATGAGGGGCAGGGCTGGACGACGCGAGGGGGAAAGGGCCGCTGTAGGCCCAACGGTCCCAGCAGGCACGCACAGGCCAACCCGGCTGAGGGGCAGAGGGGCCATGCCCAGCGGTGTGTGGGGAGCCCCTGCCTGCCCCCGCCTCCCCTGTCGCACAGAGTAGGCAGAGCCCGCAGTGCCCCTCTGCCCGGCAGGGAGCTGCACGCAGAGATCCTTTGCTCTCACCTTCAACCTCCGGGTTGGAGGTCTTCTGCTTCCTTTTGGACATGGCACGCGTCGACAGTGAGCGCTCGGAGTCCCTGCCCAGTCAGCGCTGGGCTTTGTCTTCCACACTCTCCTCTGCCGACTCTGCGGGAGAAGCAGGACAAGAGTGAGTTGGCAGCTCAGGCCCCCAGGTGAGGGGACCCCTCCTCACTGAGCAACCTCAGGCAGCCCCTCGCTCCCTGCCCTCTCCTCTCCTCACCTCACCAGGTCGCACTGACCCACGGTCTGAGCCTGGCCTGGCCTGACCCGGTCCTGGCCCCCTAGGTCACAATGGCTGCTCCGTGACATCCGTGGTGAGGCAGTCGCTACCTCACAGAGGGCTGAGGGCGTGGGCCCTGGGCACCCAAGCAAGATGGCGGCTGTTGCAGGCCGTGCACAGAGGGGCGTGCTGCTGGCCATGAAGCGGGGAGGAAGGTTGGCCTCCTTCCACCTGCTGGCAACACTCCCCTTGCCAGAGGCAGGAACAGAGCTGTCCCTGGCCAGGACTGCAGCCCTGGAGCCTCCCTTGGGCACCACTGCTCCTCCACCCCAAGCCTGTTTCCAGCTTCTCCGTGAAGCTGAGGCCAACGCTCACAGGCCAATAAAGGGCTAGGCCTGCTGTGGGCCGGCACAGCACTCCTCTCTAGAGGGCTGGGGTGAAGGACACCAGTCTGATTGCAGGGATTCTGTAGCAGGTTCCTTTTGAGTTTGTTTAGATGACTAGATGTCAGGATCGTTAACCCTATGCCATAGGCCACAGAAATTGCTAAAGGAACCCGCTGACAAGCCAGTCTTTGAGAATGACCTGTTGAATCGTTTTATGGACTGGAAATAGTAGTGTTTCCCAGAGAAAGGAAGTGTGCAGCACACTTGATCAAGAGGATCGCAGTAGGCCCTGGAAGCAGAGACCGTATGACCCAAGGGAGCAATTCCACTCTGGCTCCCAGTCTCTGCTTGTAAATACCACGGGGTCCGGATGTCAAGACTCTCGGCATCTCTGCTTCAAATGATTTGCCATGATTGCATTTGAAGTTCAGAGCAGTTGTTCATGGCTTATTGTCAAAAAATCAAAAAATAAATTTTTATCATTTTAGATGAACTTGGTGGTCTTTGAAGTTGTCTTGTTTCTAAAAAAGGTGATAAAGCAATCTTGTAATATTTCACTTTCCAAAACTAAGTCTCTTGAATACTTAAAGCATCAAAAAGATCTACCGTTCTCTTTTCCCACACCTAATTAATTCCTCCAGAAGTACTGTGGTAAGCTGCACCCTGCCAACATTTGGCTTCACAGTGTGATTTTGTGAAAGCAATTTCATTCTGAACGACAAACGAGACCAAGGGCCTGATTCTGAATCATGAACTCTGACATGTTTACAGCTGGGATCAGCAGAATAGATATCAAAGATAAACCATGGGCCGTCCCTTGATGGTACGACCACTGATGCCCGCCTGCACAGTGGAATCTTCAGAGGTATAATTTTGACCAAGTTCAGAAGCATGACAATTGGAAAATGTCTCCTTAGCTTTTTTGCTTGATTGTTTCTATTTTTTTCCTCCCTGAGTGAAAAGTAACCTCAAGAGTCATTGCAGATTAATGTAATTTGACAGCAGAGGGGATGAGTGTGGAATGAGAACATCTGGAAGAAGAAGAGTTATTTTTTTGGGCTAAAACAATACATCTATGAAAGAGAGTCTGGGATTCCGGCACAAACTATTTTTCTCTAAAGCTAGCAGAAATATAGGACTGAGCGTGGAAAGCAGAACAGTGGGAAGAAGAATCAGAAAAGCCTCTGTTATTGGAAGGAAGTTTGTTCTATGGCCATTTTGTTTCTTGAGAGATCAAAATTTCCATCTCCAAATATGAGAGAAGACCTTAGTCTTGAGAATGTCTTTGAAGCTACATTTCGTTCTAAAGCTTCTCTCATACATGCTGTTAATGTTCATCAAGCTGAAGTGAGAACCATCTGTAGGGTGTCACAGGGGGTTGGCAGTGTTGCATTTTGTTGAGATTGTGTTCTGCCCTCTCTGAATGTATCTTATCAAATTTATTTTACCACGAGGCAACCGGAATTTCAAATACTATCTGAGAAATAAATTCTGGAGGCTGTAGTATCATTTTGCTAAGTAAATTAACGTGAAATGTTGGTGCTCTGACTGTCTCCGTGCATTTTTTGCTTGTTTTGAATGTCAAAAACTACAGCAGCTACAGAAAATTAGTTTAATTTCTCAAAAATCACTTCGAAGTATTCTACTGTAACGCGGCTACTTTTGTCACTATTCTCATGTCTCAGTTGAGACTAGCAAAGCGCTCACAGGCAGCACACATTCTTTCCTTTTTCATCACATCACACTCATTTATATCAGTGGAGCTGGAAACAATCTGTCAGGACCATTAAAGAGTTGCAAAGCCTCAGAACCACCCACTAAATGGAACATTTACATTCTAGGCAGTCTTCAGCTATAAGACTGGAAGAAAATTATCCTTGTCTAACCCGATTTCTTACTGGAAAAAAAAAAAAAGAAAAAACTTTATTCCTGATGGGAAAGCCCAGCATTACACTGTCATCAGGTACCCAAGTGTCAGAAGCTTGGAAAAAGAACATGTGAAACAAAGCATTAAGGTATACTGAAGGAAATCTAGCGTCTCTTCGTTACATTTGTCCCTTATCTGCCTGGAGTCTTTCTATAATCACCTTCACTTATAATCCAAGTAGCAAGCCTCCCATTCCTCCTGTGAGTCATTGTCCTTCATACAAGGTTTCCTCAACCCCTGATTCCTACAGTTGCAACTGTTGAGTGCCCATATTCAAAAAAAGCTACCATAGATCCTATAGTTACTGGCACTTAGAGTGATTTGTTTTCAACTTTTTACCTGAGACTGACCTAAATCCCTCCTTCCTGATAAAGTGTTTTAGACATTGAAAACTGTAAGCCATTGTGCCAACTTCCAATACTTTTATCATTTTTTTATAAAATCTAAATTTATACTCATGAAAAGAATGGTGAACAAAAGAAGGCACTAATATTTCTGCTTTTGTACTGTGTAATCAGTGAAGGGACTAATACCTTGGAACTCTCTCCAGAGGACTTGAAAAAATGGAAAGCATATGGAAAACACTTTTTTACTGTGATGGTTGAATGTTGGAGGAAGTCACCCAGCGTGGTTGTTGAAACTACAGCAGAGGAGACATTCAAATACAGCAGGACAATTCTGTGATCTCTCCCAGTTGATTTTAAGGGAAATTGAAACACTGGCAAACAAAAAGAGTGCCATGTCATTGCTCAGGGCTAAGCAGCTGAACCTTTCCTTAATTCCTAATCTAGACAGATATTAAGGATAAACAAAATCACCACAGTGCAATTTTAGTACTTATTTGAAGAGTTTAATTTGGAAAAGCTATAAGCTAATTTTGTTATGCTGTGGGTTTATTTTTTTGCCATTGTGCCATTTTCTGTCATCTTTCAAATCTGGAAGTATGGAAGAAATACAATTATATGAAGAAACTATAAGGATTTATTTTAAAATTTGAAAAGAACAGTCCTGTTTTCCTGTTTAATTCCCAGCAAACACATTCAGTTCACTATTATGACAGGAAGAGTTCATATGTATTTCCCTATGAATTAGAGACTCATTGCAGAAAATTGACTGTACAAAGGAAAATGATGTTATTGCGTGCTGTTGGTTCTGCAACCAGGATGACCTCACCACCACAACAAATAATTGCACTGGAGTGAGCTTGGAGGTTTTTTAATCAAAGTCTTAGTTTATACTATGCAGAGATTTTTCTCCAGCAAGAGGGGCAATGAATTCCTAAAAAGTAGAGGTCTTGTAGGTGAAATGTAGAAATTATTTCCAGCTCTGTTGTAATTTCCATTAAAAAATAAAAAGAAAGAAGAAAATCCATAAGAAAGTGATTTTGAAAGAGCTTTAGAACCCATATAACTACCCCAAAATACATACATGTGCTTATGCATTCCTAAGCACAGGAAGTTGAGCAAGCATGGCAGAAGGACAGTGTGGGGAAACATGGAGCTCCTGACTGAGTTCAAATATAAGAAGGACCCAGAAGCTGGAAGCATTATCGGGCTATTGGACAGAACACAGTGAAATTGCCTGCACATAGGGTCTGCAAAGCTGGAGATGAAACTAGCAAGTGATGTGAAAGTGAACAAGAAAAGAATTTACGAATACACTGACATCTTTTTTGCCTCAGTTTTCACTGACTCTTGTCCTTTGTCTCCCAAGTCTATGAGCAGAGTCTATGGGAGTGAAGCAGTAGAAGAGTTAAGGATCGCTTAACTGTTAAGACATACACAAAAAGTCAGTCAGTTTGGATACTACAATTGGCAAGAAACACAAGTTGAAATATGGAAAATTTAAATCAAATGTTAGGAAAAAAATTCACCATGAGAGTGGTCAAATACTGGAAAATATTGCCCAGAGAGCTTGTTTTGTATTTGGAGGTTCAGGACACACCTATGAACAACCTGATTAATTAGATATGCTTTTAGCAGGAAGGTGGACTAGGTAAGCTTCAGAAGTCATCTATGATTCTTCAGTTCTATAAACTGTGCCTCATCTTAATACCTCACATAGCTAAAATTGCTGTCTCTAAACTCTTTACATGCACCATGACAAAATGCAGCCAAACAGCTAGAACAGATGAGAGAACATAAGGGCTATAGTGAAGCTTCCTAGAAGACACATATTAAAGCATCAAAACTTGTGGAATGCCACGCATGCATACACACAGTTGTGCTAAGGGGCATAAGCTTTCTCTCTCGTGTTTATAAAGACTGAATGGAGTCTAGTTCTACCTAGATACACCCAACAACATCATCTCACCACAGCTGCTAGAACCTATTAAAGATTTCTATTGAAGATGAAGGCTGACAGAACCTGCTGGGACTGGTATTTCTGGATGACTTGTACAAAACAGGACCGCTGTTTTCTCAGAAGATTGAGATGAGTCAGGACTGTCTCTGTTTTACTGGATCACCCAACAGCTTTGGCTGAGGAGAATGAGAGCCCACCTGTATTAGGCTAGCTGTGAGCTTCATTCGTACACTTTCACTTAAGTAGAAAAACTAACCAGCTCTACACCAGCCAGCCACTGAACAGAGTTCCCATATGAAGCTGAGGTTAGAATTGAGCATTTACATGATTATATTTAATAGGAATTTACAGCTTCCATTAAAAGAATAGTGATCTTGGACACTAAGAACAAGCAGCAGTGTCAAGGATCACACTGCCAACATTTGTAGAACATCCAACATAAGAGATCGTAGCAAGAGTTCTTGGGATGGTTGTGTAAATTACTGCATATTGTGTATTGCATTAAAGATCCTTAAATAACTTGGAAAACTTTTTTTTTTTTTTGCATGCAACCAGCTAAGTAGTTAAGCTCTGCATCTGACTTTCTGACTTACAGCTTGGAGTACTGTACATAAACACTACTTTTTGGTTTTTTTACATATTTTGTAGCAAAGCAAGACTACAGTATATATAAATGTTAAGTTCCATTAATAGGTTCTGTAACAGACACCAGTAAAATAAATGAAAAACAGCTGATTACAAAGTTTTAAATCAATACCAGAATTTACAGTTAAAAATAAATAAACAAATAAGAGAGAAACAAGTAATCTAAGTAGTTTAGAGGATTTTTCACTGTCCATGTAAGGCCTTTCCAAGTGGAAAGTAAAATGCCTTTGGTTGTACCGTTTCCTTATTTCCAGATGTCTAATGCTCTGTACTGCCACGTCAGTAGTATTCAGGCTATGGAAACTGTGTTGCTGTTTGTATTTCTCTAGCATCAAGAACTGGGTCAAATCATTTGAGTTCACCAAATTCAGGCTTACAAATTGAAGACACTCTTGGAAAAAAGAAAACAAAAGAAATGCCATTTCATAACATCAGAGATTAATCATCCTTTAAAGACAGTTTTTCATAGTGCAGAGTTTCATTCCTGCAGTAGTTACTAAATGTAGTTTAACTAAGCTCCTTTTAATTTGGAACACACTATTTCCTTCACCACACACATTCATTTTTATTCAGTTGAGACAAGTCTGCTTGGTCAGTAATGGCTCATTACCAGTCCTAAATAAAAGTTAATGAAAAGCTAATGAATGGGTTGGGAATCATTAGCTATAAATCACAGAATCACAGAATGGCCATGGTTGGAAGGGACCTCAAGGATCATGAATCTCCAACCCCCTGCCACATGCAGGGCCACCAACCTCCCCATTTAATACTAGACCAGGCTGCCCAGGGCCCCATCCAATCTGACCTTGAACATCTCCAGGGACGGGGCATCCACCACCTCTCTGGGCAGCCTGTTCCAGCACCTCACCATTCTCAGAGTAAAGAACTTCCCCCTGACATCCAACCTAAATCTCCCCTCCCTCAATTTAAAACCATTTCCCCTCGTCCTGCTGTTATCAACCCTTTCAAAGAGTTGATTCCCCTCCCTCCTATTTGTAGGGTCCTTTTAGGTACTGAAAGGCTGTAATGAGGTCACCTTCTTTTCTCCAGGCTGAACAAGCCCAGCTCCCTCAGCCTGTCTTCATAGTGGAGGTGCTCCAGTCCCCTGATCATCTTTGTTGCTCTCCTCTGGACCCTCTGCAACAGCTTTCTGTCTTTCTTGTACTGGGGACTCCAGAGCTGGACACAATGCTCCATCTGGGGCCTCACAAGAGCAGAGTAGAGGGGGACAATCACCTCCCTGTCCCTGCTGGCCACCCCTGTTCTGATGGTGCCCAGGATACCATTTGCTTTCCAAGCTACAAGAGCACACTGCTGGCTCATGTTAAGCTTTTCATCTATCAGGACTCCCAGGTCCTTCTCTGCAGGGCTGCTCTCAAGCACCGCTCCTTACAGTCTGTATAGATGTCTGGGATTCCTCTGTCCCAAGTCCAGAATCTTGCACTTTGCTTTGTTGAACCTCATCAGGTTCACCTGGCCCACCTTTCAAGCCTGTTGAGGTCCCTCTGAATGGCATCCCTTCCGTCCACCATGTCAAATGCACCACTCAGCTTGGTGTCATCAGCAAACTTGCTGAGGGTGCACTAAATACTGAACAAAACCCTCTGGAATCAAACTTGGAGCAAAATTGATTCATTGTACCAGTTTTGACAGAGATAGTTAATTTTATTCAAAGTAGCTTGTATGGTCCTACATTTTAGGTTGGTAACACACAAATGTTTCACTTAATGCTGAATAGTTTTTGTCTTATTTATCAAACTGACTGTCTCACTCATCTCCTTGGGTCCAGATGAGGACCATGGGGACGAACAGTGGGCTGGAGCACCTTTCTTATGAAGAAAGGTTGAGGGAGTTGGGCTTGTTTAGCTCAGAGAAGGCTCTGGGGAGACCTCATTGCTTTCTTTCAATATTTGAGGGAGCTTAGAAACAGGAGGGAGACCAACTTTTTATGTAGCGATAGGACGGGGAATGGCTTTAAACTAAAAGAGGAGAAATTAGGTTTGTTGGTAGGCAGAAATTCTTTACTCAGAGGGCAATGAGGCAGTGGCACAGGCTGCCCAGAGAAGCTGTGGGTCCCCCATCCATGGAGGTACTCAGGGCCACGTTGGATGGGACCCTGAGCAACCTGAGCTGGTGCATGGCAACCAGCCCATGGCAGGGTGTTGGGACTAGATGGTGTTTAAGATCCCTTTCAACCTTTTATTCTATGATTCTATAATTCTCTTCCCCATCCCACTGAGGGAGTGTGGCAGCCCTGTGGGGCCCAGATACCTACCAGGGTTAACTTAAAATATCTGCAAAGGGAAGGAAGTCTAAGCCACAGTGAACACAGAGTCTATTTGTGATGTTGCTAGTGCAGCAATATTTGATGGTTAAGCTAGTTAAGCTACTCTTTAACTCATCTCCCTTAGCATTGTAAGAGAACATAGACACGATCAGAAGCTTCATTTCCTCCTAATTTATGTCTTTCTAAAACATGGCAGTTCAAACTTAAGAATGGTTGATTAGGAAGTCAGGCAAAGCACCAGGAATCCTGCAAGGATGAACGAATAGCTTCTGACCAAACTGTAATGCAAAAAGGAAGTATCGGGAGAGTGGAAGCAAGGATGGGTAGCCTGGTAAGGATACCAAAACGTTGTTCAAGCATCCAAGCATGAAGTTAGGAAAGCTAAAGCCTAAATGGAATGGAATCTGATCACTGATGTCAAGGACAAGAAGAAAGACTTCTTTAAGTATACTCACTGTCCTTATGCTTATACAAAGTGTGAGGCAGTAAAAATGAGTAATAGTTTTTAACTGATTCAATACCACATATTGCCACAGACCTGATCCTCAGAAATAGAAGTATGACAAATTCCATGCCCCGTTGCTGCAGAATAGCTGGTAGGTTCCACAAACACTGCTGTACTGACAACACGTGTTTTTCATATTACTCCATTTTTATTGACAGTAATTCCAACACTTAACACTGCATATTTAAAATGTAATTATACAACTCCAATCTTTTGTTCATTATTACAAAAAAACATTCACAAAGTGAGTAACGGTAAGAACAAAAAAGATAATTTCATGCCCATACATCCAAAAACCAAAACTCCAAAAATCTGAGATGTTATTCTTTCTCTTTGAGGAAAAAGTATTCATTTTTAGTGAATTGTGTAAATGACAAATCTTAAACTGAAACTTAAATACATGGACTATGAAAATTAAATAGAAAATAGACCATAGCTCTTGCATATTGCAGTGTACCTTACTTTTCTAAGAATCAATCCCTGAGAGTATGCAATACTCAGGCTCTGGACAGTATTCTCAGGGCAACATTTTTTATACAGGTAAGGTATTACAAGCTTTACAGGTAAGGACCTTACACATGTGCTGACATAAGTTAATATTATCTTGCCTGATAAGGAATACAGTATAAAAAGCTGGTTCTGGAAAATTAACACGAAGAAAAGGTATTTTTATGAAAAGAAATTACTAGAATGACTGATATATTACTTTTTTAAAAGAAAATTTCCTGCAGTTTCTTGGCAATTTAGATTTGCAGAGAGCATAGAAGAAATACATTCAAAAGTCAGCATTTCTCTTTTTATAACTTTTCCACTGGACCTGCCATTGTGATTACATATGAGGCAGCTAAATAAAAGCTTGTAAACACTGAGCTTCGTCGTTTTTCTGGAAATCCTTTCCTTAGGACCTTCCTTCTCAAGTGGAACCACTACAAATGCTGATATTTCATAATAAAAATTAGTAACTGTATTATGGAAATATTTAATAAAGATTTAAGACTGAACTGCTTAAGTGAAAATGGAAGATGTTGCATTGATACATTATCCCACGTAAGAGCAAGAATAGATATATTTCTATTTTCATAGGTTAATGGAAATATGGGTCATAGTTCCTCCGAATCTTCATTGAGACTGATTTAATTTTTACTGGCTTGTTGTTCACTGTCCATGTATCCCAGTGAATCCCAGTTGCAAGAAATCTACCTGTGTAACGATGAATACCATTAAGATTTGCAAGGCCACACTGGTTGAACCACCATCCAGTGTTATCACTGAAGTTACTGCAGCTCTTTACAGGCTGTTCTTTAATAATGCACACTGGCCTACATCCATCATTGTCGACATCAAATGTGCTGAAAGGCATCGAATTCTGATTATCTTCTTTTCTGTATCCTCTGAATGCATCACCTAATCACGGGAGATGAAATGGAATGATGATAAAGGAGTTACTTGTGAGAAAAAGAATATTGTTTGCTTACTTCATAATTCACAAACATTTCATCTGAAATTATGACAAAAATGGATTTCCTCAAAAGCAGTTCAAGGCAGCACTGCACTGGTATGTGTTGAGGACATAGGGAAAAAAAGTACAAAATACTCAGAAGTATGGAAGAAATGATGGAACATCTTTATCTTCTTGTTGCTTCGGTGCTTTTAGTGTTGCTAACTATGAAGGTAAAGATTTCTGTCCTCAAAGACCCTTACTCCAAATATTACTCTCTTGAATACACTAAGAGAAAAGAGAGTTGGTATCTTTAAACATATTAAGAAGGGAAGTTCTTACCTGCATTTCCTGAATAACGTCCCAAATGAATTTTAAAAGAACATGTTTCATCCTCTATCCAAAATGCATCATATGATGCATAGGCATGCTTGTCATTTTCTGATTCCAAATCCACGTAAAGACTGAAAGTGGTTGCTTTTTGGTTTACTATATAAAAAATCTTCCTTAAGCCAATCCAAAATTCCCCTAAAGCAAAAATGCAATGTACATTCAATAAACATCTAGAAACAAAAAGTATAATGCTTTCTATTTTTCCTACTTTCCTTCCTGACCTAAGTGTAACAAAAGTATCTGATCGGCATGTATTCCTTTGAAAGGCCAACAGAGGGGCAGAGCTGTCTCCTTACTTCACTGGGAAAATGCATGGAAGGAACTCACATAAGGGCACCATCTTTTTTCTTCATGACATTTTCAGAAAATTTTATAACTTTCAAGTGTTCGACTTTAACACACTTTGTAAGGCCACAGACACTGGATGTGCTGAATATGCACTTAACTAGCCAGAATTCAGTGGTGCTCCAAAAGACTATACTGAGAAATGACAAAGGTCAGCATTATGTGAAATGCAACAAAATGCAACAAAAATCAAATCTAATTGTAAAGATTTGCTTCCTCACATTTTTTTTCCATGAAACATTGCCCCATCTGACCTGCAGCGGTTCGTAAATTTGAAAAGTTTGAGTCTTATTTCTACTCCAAATGGACAACTGAAAAAGCAGCCGCTGCTTTCAGACTTTACAGTTGACAGTAAAAAAAATAATACAACTGTTGTATTGGTGTTAGCTGCTGAAATATTTCCATTATCTTTCTAATCACTCCCAGAGCTGAAATATTACTGACTGTTCTTTCCTTCACGGAAATATTTTGCAAGCATGATTAAAAGCAACTCAGTCTTTCTTAAATCTCAACGAACATACAAACAAATAATAATAACAATAACAACAGCAATAAAAAAAGTCACAGAGAAATACAACTCATACATAATTTCAGCAATAAAATATTCCATCATATTAACCTCTTCTTGTGAGACTAAGGATGGGTAATGGTGAAGGATTCCAGTAGGGTGAAGGTCACTGTTGAGAAGGTTAGACAATAGTTCTGGGGAAGCAACAAAGCATCTGAGTATTAAACAAAGTACTTTTTAAAAAACAGGAACTTTACTCGGCATGCTACTAAAACTGCAATACAATTTAGTGGGAATGTAGCTCTCAAAAATATAGCAGGAACACTGGATCCAAAGCACTTAAGAGTATTTAAAACTCATACCAGAAAGATCACCAAATCCATCCAGATATTCAGACCACGTCCTCTGAAATGTAATGATTCCATCAGTTCTTTTCTGAAGCACAGTCCACCCACCTCCTTGAAAATCCATGTCACATAATACCTAAAACAGACACAGGCACGATTAAGCACACTTGAGACATCTGTAATGAAGAAGATAAAAAGTTTTTAAATGAAATAGAAGTGGACTATTTAGGTTCTTGCCAAACAATGTACCCTTCCAACATTTTAACAAAAAGCTCAGAGAAAATTAAGCAAACAAACTGCAGTGTTTTCTTTTATGTTCTACGGAGACTTTAATTTGGAGACTACCTCAATCAGTGTAAGCTGTCATGTGCAAATGCCTCTTCACATTAAATATAAAAAAAGTCCTTTGCTAAATTTTACTTTGTATTAATAATAGCATGAAGTGGAAGCAACGTGGGATAGCAAGGGGATAGTTTCCTGCAAGAAACACAGATGGGGGCACTAATAGCAAATATACATTTATTTCAGGAAAGCAAAGAGTCAAAACTTCTTCTGTGTTCTCTTCTACCATCACACCCTCTCACCCAGAAACACTGTTTGTGATGCCTGAGAAATGCAGAGCATTTAATAAAGGTTAGGGAATGAAGTGATAGTGATAACACAACATACAATAATTTATCCTGGAGCAGTAGAAAACGTCACATAAAAGGGGGCCTCAATCCAGGGAAGTCTCAGTATGAGCATTTAGCAGCCTGAAGCTGAGCAGTCCCACTGAATACCTGGGATCAGCTCAGGATTGATGAAACCACTAATGACCACTAAAATTTGTGCCCAGTGGTATGTCAAAAGACAACGGTACAGCTGCTCTCTGCTCTCCTACAGAGTATCACATTGCAGGGCACATTTTCTCCTCAGCCCATTTAACGATAGACACGTGACTGACCACCCTAAGTTGGGTATCAAATTGTCCTTGTCTGCTTTCTAATCCCCCCTCATAGAGAAAAATGTGGGTCTGGAAAAGTAAGATCTAAATCACCCTCTGCAGATGTTACCTGCACTGTCTGCAAAAAAAGGGCCCTCAGACCCTTGGCTGCATTCTTGGGATATCAGGTAAGGGTCTAAAATTAAATGGAATGCATCCAGGTCACTCTGGGTATTTTTCAAGTGTGTCTGCAGTGCCAAAGCTTGACCAGCTGTAACACAAATTAGCAATTCTTGTCATCCTGATGTAGAAAGTTGTGCATTGCACATTTAGACGTTACAATCAACCAAGCAGCAGTCTGAGTTTTACATGTTGCTTCTCCATTGGCTGGTACAACTCTGATACTTTTGACAAAACAAAAGGTTTTCTCTGTGGAGGGATACCTTGACCTCATACTAAGAACTTGTGTCACGTAACATCTTCTCAGTGAAGCACAGGAAGCAGCAGCACAGAGCTGCAGCGTGATCTAATTAATACAGCTTGGGCAAGTTTTGGTCCTCATTACTCGAGGTGCCATTGGAAGCCTTGAGCAATTCTTACAACCCAAACACTGGAGGAATCACAGTAAGGATCGTGTTCATGCAAGTGCACCTGGGAAATGATGGGCTTTTCTCCCTGGAGTGTCACATGTTTATTTCAGTCAACCAAGGAATAAAAAGAAATACCCACGACTTCAAAATGGGTATTTAGATACAAATATCTAAAATGCATTAAAATAATCCTATTGACTCAGTCACCGTCTTGAAATGATGGCATGCTTTGCTACTGACCATGAGCCAGAAATACAAAGAGGAACCCGCTCAGTCACAACATCAAGCTCTGAGCCTACACAAATCAGTGGGAGCCGTGGTGATTTTCAGAAGAATAAGATTTGGATCCACAAGAGAGGTCATCAGCATGTTACTCAGATATGGCACCAAACAGACACCAGCTAAGCAGGAACATGAAATAGGTACACAAAAAACAGTCAGTGCTATATTTCTTAATTTTACATGCTGCAAATGATGCAATCGTTTCCCTTCTTAAAGCCTTGCAATCCACTTAACAAATTGCTCTGTGTCTCATACTGTGCAAGGTACCAGGGGCGTGACAGTGTTAAATTAAATGAGCACGAGGGGGCTTCTACTGAGTACTTTTCCCTTTTCATATTTAGTGTGTATAGCAAGTATATTTCAAACAGCCATTCAGTTTCTCCAACTCACTGATCTAAACGTACTCATCCAAAAATGCAGCAGAAAGTGAGCACAGATCAGTTTTCCAGAAGTGAAACTGGTTTTAATTGCCTCATGTTTGAATGCTCACACAAAAACCCATCTTAGACTAATTTTCTGAGACGACAAGAACCTGCAGCCCATGCTGAAACTGGATATGCTCAGAGCTCCTGAAATCTAGTTTAGATCAGTTCAAGTCAAGCATCCAAAATCTACACTCACTTCTGAAAATACGAAGACATGAAAACATGAGACATTTTTAAAACAGTTTTCTTCATTTATCTGATATCTTTATGCAGATCATTCTAGAGACACTTTGTTACAGTTTCAAACACATTTAAGGGGCTGAAAAGAAATACCCATGCTTTGTTGCTGAAAAGGTCCTACAAATGAGTTGTTCATGTGGCTTTGTTTTCTGTTTTAAATTCTCTTACTATGATTCTCTGCCTTTTTATAATTTTGTTTTATTGTCCCAGTATTCAAACTTTTCCAAACTCCTGGCTATCAGTCTCTTGAACGCATTTCAGTTCATTTTAATGTCTTAACTTTTTTTTTCTCATCCACCATTTCTGTGGTACTTTTTTTGCACTTCAACACATGGAAAAAATTGTATTAAACAGTTTTCCTTAAAATAACATTCTGGAAGGAACACACATCCTTTAGATATTTTTCTCTGAGAACTTTTTGGCACTGTCTTTTCATTTCTGTGAAACAGCTACCAGGCAAGAACTGAGACACTCACTTCAGGAGTGCAGAGTTTTCTTATTATTTATTATTATCTTGTGATTTAAATCAAATTACTGCAGTTTTTCCTTTTGCTTTTTGTTCTCCTTAAGGAACCTTTCCATTCACATAACTGATTCTTAGTTCTTTGGGACACCGGCAGTAATTTCAAATGTGGACGAGTGTCAAAAATACTTCTAAAGTTAAAGGAGATTTACCGTTTTACATTTTCTGACACAGATTAAGTCATACCATCTCTAGTAAAAGTAATTTGGGTGAGATATGAATATTTCCTCAATGGAATCTTCCTCAATCCAAGAGAAATTCTGAAACAAATGCATTTTGTACTACAGTTTAGCTGGGAGTGAGGCAGACAGCATTTTCTTCATACTAGGCATACACATAAGTTCTCTGCGAAAAATTCTATCTGTCTTTGCCTTTCTTTTACCTGGAAAGAACGTGATGATGAGTTACAGATTTTTTCACTCACAGCACTGTACAGAGAAAACAACAGCATTTTCTATCAGGAGTCTGCAGAACCAGCATCTATTTTTACTTTTGAGATCCCGGCATACTTCTGAAGTCTTTTCATAACAATACTGAGCTCTTTTTTCATAGCATTTTAAAGGTTCCAACTGGCCAGAGATAAAGGGATTCACTCTTCCTTTGTTATATACAAAAGAGGACTTTAAAAGTAGTGATTACATTTTGCTATTTACTTGCTGGCTAAAACTCTACATTTTTTTCCCCCAAAAAGTAATAACCCCCACATGTATTGCAAAATAAAAGGCTTGTCAGCCTTATCTCCATCATCACCAGTATAAGTCAGTGCCATATCTGTTTTCTTCTTAAAGAAGCCTTATGGACAGACTGCAATGGAAGTAAACATCCAATAAAAAATTTTCCTAATGTTTGCGTGGATTTGGTGACAGGAAACATGACTGCTGTACTTCACAAGATCCACCTACAAGCTCTGAAGTAACTGGCGGGTGAAGTTGCCAAGCTGCTATACATCATATTAGAAAGGTCATGGTGGGGAAGTCCCCACTGAATGGAAAAGGGGAAACATAACCCCATTAACAGGAAAGGAAAAAAAGAAGATCCAGAGAACTGCAGGCCAGTCAGTCTCACTTCTGTGCCTATCAAGATCATGGAGCAGATCCTCCTCAAGACTCTATTAAGGCACATGGAAAATAAAGATGAGGTGATTGGTGGTAACCAACACACCTTCTCCAAGGGCAAGTCATGTCTGACAAGCTTGGTGTCCTTTTGAGATGGAGTTACAGCATCAGTGGAAACAGGAAAAGCAACCGACGCCATCTACCCGGATTTGTGCAAAGCGTTTGGCACTGTCCTGCATGGTGTCCTGGTCTCCACATTGGAGAAAAATGGTTTGGTGGATGGACCACTCACTGGATAAGGAACTGGCTGGATGGTCACCCTCAGTGACCCTGTGGTCAGCAGCTCGGTATCCAAATGGAGACTGGTGACAAGTGGTGTTCCTTGGGGATCGGTGCTGGGATTGGTGCCATTTAACATCTTTGTGGGCAACATGGACAGTGGGATCGAGTGCATCCTCAGCAAGTTTGCAGATGGCACCAAGCTGTGTGAATAGTGAAGTTGACACTCTAGAGGGAAAGGATGCTATTCAGAGAGACCTGAACAGGCTAAAGAGGTGGGCCCATGCCAACCTCATGAAGTTCAACAAGGCCAAATCAAGGTCCTGCAGGTCAGGGCAATCCCAAGATGCAGGTTTGGCAGAGAATGGCTTGAGAGCAGTCCTGAGGAGAAGGATTTAGGGGTGCCCATCGATGAAAGACTCAACATGAGCCAGTAATGTGCACTTGCAGCCCAGAAGGCCAACTGTATCCAGCGCTGCATCAAAAGAAGCGTGACCAGCAGGTTGAGGGAAGTGATTCTGCCCCTCTACTCTGCTCTCACGAGACCCCACCTGGAGTACTGTGTACAGCCCCCAACACAAGGACATGCAGCTCCAATGCAGCAGGTCCAGAGAAGGGCTACAAAGATGATCAGAGGACTGGAGCATCTCCTCTACAAGGACAGGTTGACAGAGCTGGGTCTCTTCAGCCTGAAGAAGATAAAGCTCTCGGGGGACCTCACAGTGGCCTTGCAGCACCTGAAGGGGACCTACAGGAAAGCAGGGAGCCCAGAGAAGTTGTGTACGCCTCCTCCCTGGAAGCATTCAAGGCCAGGCTGGATGGTGCCTTGAGCAAGCTGGTCTAGAGGGAGGTATCCCTGCTTATAGCAGGGAGGTAGGAACCACATGATCTTAAAGGTGCCTTGCAACCCAGACCATTCTATGATTCTAAGATAATTAATTTCATTCTTTCTTTTTTTTTTTATCCTAGCTGCATATGTCTCACAGACAGAATAAGAAGGTTTAGATGCTCTCTGTCCTACAGCTGAGTAGAATGGTGCTCAGACAAAAGCTAAGCACTTATTCCTCAAATAGATGTACATCTGTATCTACACTTAGATGTCCAGAAAAAACATGGTTCAAGATACAGTTACCAGCAGCATCACTTCTCAAGAGAAGGCAACCCTTGAAGCTTCCCCAGTAGAATAATTTAGAAGCCAAATAGATCAGTCTTTTGTCTTTTCAGTTTCCATCTCTAATACAGAAGAGAAGAGCAGTTCTCAATCACCAAAAGCAGGGCTGGAGAGTTTTCTTCAGTTTTCCTCTTCGGTACATTTTTCATTACATATGAAAACTGACGATGAGATATTATATCAGAGCTTAAATTTCAATGTAGAAACTGATTTTTTTCTTCAAAACTGTAGCAAAGGCAGACTCATTTGGATGATTTAATACACTTCTTATTCATCAGTTGGAAAATTATCATGGAAGGCGTTATTAAATACATTCTAAGCGGATATTCTCAAGCAAATTTCAGCTATCACGAGAGAGAAATTTATTACCTCAAATGCATAATTTGATCCTTCTGGATGGATGATGTACAGACCACTTGGAGTTTTTGAAACTGAACCAATGGTATCTTTAATATCAGTGCAATCCAACCCTGGAGAATAAAGTATTTGATGAAGCTTATTAACACATATTTTTTTAAAAAGAGCACAAATACAGCTAAAGTGGAGAAATACAAACTTTGTTGGGAACTTCTGAATGATCTCAAATACAATTTTTTGTTGTGCAAATTTAAAATATGCATTCTTAGGAATTTACCTTATATACCCTCACCTTGGGGGAACTGGAACTAGATGATCTTTAAGCCCTTCCAACTCAAACCATTCTATGATTCTATGGAATGATAATTCTCTGAGATCCGCTAAGCTTGGAAAGAATAATAAATTGCATTTTATTGAGAAAGTTCGTTCTAATCTTAACTGATACACAGAAAGATTATATGATGGTTGCTCCAAAGCTAATGTCTCCTATTTTATTCTGTTGGCACACAACATCAGAGGTGCATGTTGGTGGTTTGGCAGTAGAGACTGAACCTTCCCACCAGTATTTCATTCCATTTTGTTGCTGTGTGACAGATGGCAGCAGAGGAGCAGTCTAACAAATGCTGTCTGACATGGAAGTGTATACGAAGCAAAGGTGTAGAATGGAATTCCTCTATGAGGAAAAAATGGCATCCATTGACATTCACTGATGTTTGCTGAACATTTATGGAAAGCAAATGGTGGATGTAAGCATAGTGAGTAAAGTGCTGTGTGGTGCATTTCAGCAGAGGTGACAGTGATGTGTTCCAGGAAGCCATACACAGCTTTCACACCATGAAATGAAGCATGTCTTGATCAGCTCATCTGCACGGGTGAAAAATGAAATGAAAAATGAAAAATGAAAAATATGTTTTGTGGCTAAGAATTTACTCTATCAAATAGTGTCATTATGCCTATTGTATCTGCTGTAGTTTTCATAGGAAGCATTACTTTCAGAGCAGCCTACATATATCCAGGTCTTATTTCATAGATTTGATTTGGTTAACATTTCATAGAATCATAGAATCATAGAATCACTAAGGTTGGAAAAGACCTAAAAGATCACCCAGTCCAACCGTTCACCTATTCCCAATAGCTCCTACTAAACCATGTCCCTCAACGCAACATCCAGTCTTTCCTTGAACACCCCCAGGGTCGGTGATTCCACC